ATAAAGTTACAATCTATAAACTTCAGATATTAAGGACTTGCCCCTATTCAAAAGTCTTTTTTACATTCTAATGCGATTTAGAGGGAATCATTCGAAATAAAATATCAAGCAATGTCCTCTTTTCTTCTCAAATCATTTTCCCTTTCATATTGTTTCCCTATCTGTCATAATCGTATGTGGAGGATGCAACTGAAATTCAACGGAGATTACTATTTGGACAAGATCGTTATCTAAATCATGATTTGATTAAGAAGTGATAAACAAGTTTTCTTAATTACACAACACAAATGGATAGAACCTTACATTTAAAATGCTAAAAATACCTAAGAGGTTGTGACTTAATTAGAAAAAGGATTTGTTTTCTACTTGTTGATCAAAGTTTGATTTTTTAGAAAGATAATAAAGATATAATTTCTTATAAATTTCCTAATTATAGTCTGAATAACTTTTTTTTTACTGAATAAAAAAATTAATTTCAAAGTATGAATTAGTTTCAAAATATACACAAATTAAGCCAAAGACATTTTACTCTGACTACTAAACCAATAAAAAAAAAAAGGAAAAAAGAAGCTAAAAACATCTTCAAAGTGACAAAAGGAGGACAGAGGTTGTATAAAATTTTAAGTTGAGATTTTGTTTATAAAGGGTAGGAAGAGACAGTTCTTATGGATTCATCAAAACCTAGTAGAAAATTTTCTTTGAGCAAAAAAAATAAAAATAAATAAAAGTGGTTGTTGAAATTTTGGCAGTTAATCGGTAGTGAAGATATTGCTATTGCTAGTGAGCAACTCCTCAACCTACCACACCTAATCTTTAATAAAGAAGGAAATTTTTTTTCTAATATTTTAATTTTTGTTGGCAACAAATATAAATTGTTCTACCCCACATCTGACCTTGGATGACAGGGACTCCACATCCTAGTCTATAACATCATCTGAATGTGACATTTTCTAATTTTCAAAGCTTGATATGATATTTTCATAAACTCAATTGGGTCTTGTAAGTTGTAACAGATTTTTCAAAATGTAAAAATCACTACGTAATAGATTGACTCTTAATTAAATAAATAATTAAAAAATTTTAGAGATAATTTTTTATATTATTTTTTAATATAATTTTATATATTGTTAAAATTAATAATTAAAATTTTTAAAATTTATATATTAATTATATTTATTTAATAATATATCAAAAATTATTTTTATATAATTATTTATAAAAAATAAATAAAAATTATTATTATTTTTTTAAACAGATTACATTAAAGGTAAGGATTCGAACCTCAACTTAAGAATTGAAGGATGCATTTCAACTCGTGGCTTAAGATCATCGAGACATGAAATCCAAGTGCAAATAAATTTTATTTTTACAAAGATAAAAATGAGAATATCAAATTATCAATGGATGGGAGGGTAGATCAGTGATTTCATGATAGGTCAACCAGACCAACGTGGGATGGATATGACAATTTGGGATTAATTTTGGTTGTACTAATATTGAGAGAAAATACTACCGTATTAGAGCAGGTACAGAATAGAATGTCTAGACTGGAAACAATGTCATATCAAACCAATTCTTTAGATTTAATGGATCGATCTCAAGTTTTAAGTGTTTGAATGAGGTGGTTGGAGTTTTGAGTTTTACCACAGTCGTGAAATCCACTAAAAAGCGACTTAATAATCGCGCGCCTCATTTAAGGGGGTAGAATGTTCACTCAATCTGAGAACCAGTTGTTAACAACTAACTCATACTAACTTTCTAACTATTACTTTTGTCAAAAAAAAAAATGCCATATCTGATTAATTTTAGTGGAAATAATATTGAGAGAAAAAACTATCGTATATTAAAAAAGGTATCTCTACAGAATGTCTTGACTGAAAATTACAGGGAATGCTTGAAAAACGCAGAGCTATTTTTATTTTTTTTAATATAATACCATATTAGCAATAAGAATCTTCACCCTCAGATTCATTCCTTAATTTTTAAATTAGTCATTTCAATATGGTAAAGAAATTCAATGTCATATAAGAAGCTTCTACATTGTGGAATTTCAGTCGGTTTAGGTGAAGGGATTGGACTTGTTGGAGATGCATTTATTTTTTT